ATGAATATGAATCACACAGGTCCACAGGGTTTCTGGACCCACATTTGACAGCAGGATTGATAGATAGAATTGCTGCCATCAGCTGAGTGATAACCGAAGCGGGAAACCAAAGAACAAGACTGGGAATACTACTGCCCAGGGGCAAGGTCCCACAAGCACAGAGGATGAGATTTGAAGCCTGAATCGGGACGTGTTTGAGGACAGATGCAGAAAACCGTGATTGATCTGTTTTCTGCATCTCCACTAAGAACCTATCCAGATTCAGGTTCTTAATCCGATCCATTTTGGCAGTGGGTCCTAGCCCCAGGTTCTCATTGTAGGATAATAGAAACAACATGAAATAGCCTACATGGAATACACTACCTTCTTCCCCCGAATACAAAGTAGGGTCATTATAGTATTAAAAAAAAAAAGCTGTATTGGGGGTGTCTTTCAGACTAAATACAGCTATAGCAGTCAGACTGCAGGACACAGCGGCTGGGCAGGAATGCTATACATAATGGGACAACTGCAGCCGCATTGAAAAAAAAAAAAAGAAAAAAAACAAAGTTTACAAACAAACAAACAAACACACAACAGTAGTATGAAACAGACACTGCACAAACCTGAAGGGACCCTGGACCCCGTTTCCAGAAGGTGCTTCTCCCCACCAATAGATGGATCAACGGTCACAAATGAAGAATCAGTGTAAGTGGGACTTGGCCCCCGGTGCGGTCCCTTTTTTTTTTTTTTTTTTTTTTCAAGGGCGCTGCGGACGCATCACGCGCTTAGTTTGAGATATGGCACTGTCTTTATGGTGCGAGTCTGAAACGGACAATTTTGTCAAAATAAATCTGTTGGCCCGCCCCTCTGACACCACGGCCCATCCATGCAATTATGACACCTATGGCTCTGTCATGGCCGCGGTGCTTTCATTTCTTTTTTTTTTTTTTTTTGACAAAGAAACTTCGTTAAGAACCGGGAAGCGGGCCCGGCATCCCTCACATAGATGCTGCAGCCATCCGGGCTAAGAAAGGCACTTCTGGCCAACCCTATCCCCAACCACAGCCATCTAGCTACGGAGACCCCAGCCCCCCCAGTACTATCAAGCCCCAAATTGCTAAAAGGAACAGATGTAGAAAACGATCATTGCCTACGCACAAAGGAGAGAGCTATCACCCTATTGATGTCAAACCTATCCTATCCAAATTTCCAAGGCCAGAACCAATCAGAATTTACTCGAAATTTACTCAAACCCTACCCAGTACTAATTACCATTAAAAACCAATCAGCACTAAACTAAAATTACTCAACCCCTATCTATCACTCAAACCCTATCTATTGCTCAGGCATCAAGAAACGAGCACAGCTCCAAAAGAATTCAATCCTAGTGTGCCGTACTTCCAACGAACCCATCAATTTTAGTATCACGGACTACCTAGTTAGGGTAATGAGTCATCTCTCTCTCTCTCTCTCTCTCTCTCTCTCTCTCTCTCTCTCTCTCTCTCTCTCTCTCTCTCTCTCTCTCTCTCTCTCTCTCTCTCTCTCTTGCGCGGATTACAAGCAACAAACCACAGCAAACCATCGAACAATCCACGAATCAGTGTTCACCGACAACTTATTCCAAACCTGTACAACCTAGCAAACTAAAATCCATTCCAAACCTATATAACCTAATAGTTAGTCTAACATTCGAAACCTATATAACCTAATAGTTAGTCTAACAGTCGTGTCATTCAAAGACAATCAATAACCCACCAAAGATCCAAAGACTAGGAAGTCCTGAGCAACACCACGTCCGAAGCAGGAGCAACAGTGGACAAACCCTGGTCGAGGCTGAAGCCCTGTGTCAGCAATTCACCGACAACTCCGGGCGATACCAATCGCAGCGAGAAGTCCAGCATCAATTCTCCCAGAAGTCGACGCTTGTCGATGTACTCTCTTCGTCTGTCTCCAGCTCTTCACTCGGATAAGATTGCGTCCGCCGCCACAACACCATAGTGTTACATATCTACAATCAGCGGGCAAAGCCCCTGATCGAGTGATAATATTGATATGTACGGTGCGCAGATCCTGCCCGTTGGCCGTCCCCACATCTCTCCCGTTCCTCCCACGGCCAATCTAGGATTACCAACTATCGTTGGCCAAGACCAGGCTATGGCAGGTGCATGGTTGTGCCCCCTCGAAGCGGCCCCCACCTCAGCGCCCACACGCTCTATCACCCCACCCCCTCCGCCATACCCAACAGCAAGTTCTGGCTAGTGCGATCCCCCCGCTGCCCTCGCACCGTAATAGCGACGCGCTAACGCAGCGTTACCGCTGCGCTAGCGCATTACCCGGAGTCTGCCTGACATCGGATTTGAAACGGCCCTTGTTTCTTTTCTTTTCTTTTCTTTTTTTTTAGAGAAAACTACGGCGCAGTCAGGGTTACAGTTTGTAATTGCATTTGGAACTGCATTTTAGCAGTTTAGTCAGGGCCCGAGTTTCAATTGCATTTGAAACTGCGTTTTAGCAGTTTGAAACTCAGGCTGGCTTTTGCTAGCAGTTCAGTCAGGCACATGGCCGTTTCTTTCTTTCTTCGTTTTCTTTTTTTTTTTTTTTTTTTTTGGTTGCGTGCCGTAACGCGCCGTGCCGTTCCGCGGCTGAACAAAAAAAAAACAGCCCCATGGTTGGGCCACGGCCGAGATGTCTCGGCCACACCCCAGACTGGCCACGGCCGAGATGTCTCGGCCACACCCCA